CAATTGCAGTGGCTCACAACCTGTAATGCCAGCATTTTGGGAAGCTCAGGTGGAAGGATCACTTGAGGCCAGAAGGTCGTAACCAACTGGGTAACAGTAAGACCCTGTCTCTACAACAGAAGAAAAGATTAGCCAAGTGTGGTGGCACATACCTGTAGTCCTAGCTACTCTGGAGGCTGAGCCAGAAGGATCACTGGAGCCCAGGAGTCAGAGATTACAGTGAACTATGATCACACCACTGCACTCCAGCCCTGTGACAAAGTGAGAACCTGTCTCAAAAAGCAAAACAAAACAAAAAACAGGCTGGGTGTGGTGGTTCACACCTATAATCCTAGCACTCTGGAAGGCTGAGTTGGGAGGATCACTGGAAGTCAGGAATTCAAGACCAGCCTGACCAAGGGCGAGGACGGCGGGAGAGTTTGAGACCAGCCTGAGCGACACAGTGAGAACCAGTCTCTTAAGAAAAACAATCACATTACACAAATATAGTTCAGGGCCTTGGATTTGTTTAACTTCTTTTGACAGAAAGTCAAGTGTTTTTGGTTGAACATAAGTCAGACTGCATCTAGAGGAGAGTGTATTAGAATGGCACAGTGTCTGGAAAATATTCTATGAGGACTGACTGAGGAAGCTGGGCATGTGTAGCCCAAAAGGTAAAAGATTCCTGGGAAGCATGAGAGATATTTTCAAGCATAAATGATTTATGTAGCAAAGAATGTAATGTACAGAGTGAGCACCAATGGGTGGCAATTCCCAAGAAGCAGATTTTAGTTGAATGAAAGTAAGACCTTCCAAGAATCAGACCTGTTCTAGCAGGGGAACTGGCTTCTCCAGAAGTTTTAGGCTCCTCCTTGAAACAACTCCTCCTCGGGACAACTAGTGAATAAGTAGATGAGCCTCCAGCCAGGGGTGGGAGGAGAAGCCTTTTGGTTCTAAGGTCCCTTTGGCTCCCAGACCAGCAGTTCCACTTTATGAGATTTTCCTACTAATCCACTCACTACCAAAAGTATACTAAGAGAGAGTACGTTGGTGGTATAGTAGGGAACATAGTTGCCTTCCAAAAGTGTACTAAGAGGTGTTATTAATATACCTATGGGGGGAAAAAGTACAGTGCAGTATTTGGAATATACCTCCATCATCCGTGTGTATGTACACAACCACCTTGTGCTATGTAGACTAAGCCTGCATTGTATGTGTGTGTGCACACCCACCCATCTAGAGTACACCTCCATCGCACATGTGTACACACCCACCCATATACATACCTGTGCTAGAGTGCACCTCCATCATGCATGTGTGTGTACGCACCTATCCATATAGATACCTGTGCTAGTAAAGTTCACTTCCATCGTGTGTGTGTGTATGTGTACCCACTCATATGCATGAAGACACAGAAGCGTCTAACGGTGATGGATATTGGGGAGGGTAAGCTAGGGGCTGAGCTCTCAAGCTTTCAAAGCAGTATTCTTTTAGAAGTAAGGAATATTATGATCATTAACTTCCCATTATAGGCCCTTGTTTCTCTAAGTGCTCAGACCCACATAGGGAATGCTGGCCATAGTACCAGCTGAGATTGTTCAAGGCTCGCTCTCTTTTTTTTTTTTTTTTTTTTACAAATTTATCAATCAAGGCTCTCTTAAGTGTCAGACTCTGGTACCTCATTTTTTTAATGTTCTCATCACTGTCTCACTATTTCTGATCTTTTCTTTAGACAGTATGATAAGGTAGATTATTCAAAAGCCATTTAACTTAAATACAGAATTCTTACACCTCTCTAAGGACCATGGTTTTGCTATGTTTTTGGTTTTTTTTTTCTACCTCTTAACTGCTTTGACTCACTGCTCATGAGGTGGTGTGGGGTCAGTAAGATCTAAAGCAGGAGAGGAAATGGCTGCATAGCTGAGGCTCTTGTTTCTCTCAGAACATACTTAGAAATTCACCTTCAAGAAATCTCTCCTGGGTGATAGAGACAATAAATAAATAATCAATTGATCAGTGTCTTCTAAGGAAACAATCAGATGCTAAATATTTTTGTATGAGAATATTTGTCAAAACCATATTTGTTGGCCAGGTGTGGTGGCTCATGCCTATAATCCTAGCACTCTGTGAGTATAAGGTGGGAGGATCACTTGAGACTCAGGAGTTCAAGACCAGTTTGAGCAGGAGGAGACCCCATCCCTACTAAAAACAAGAAAATTAGTGCACACCTGTAGTCCCAGCTATACAGGAGGCTGAGGCAGGAGGATCACTTAAGCCCGGGAGTTTGAGGTTGCAGTGAGCTGTGGTGATGCCACTGTACTCTACTGGGGCGACAGAGCAACACTCTGTCTCAGAAAAAAAAAATGTGCTACCACAAAATTAGGAAACAAACTTATGTCCAACAACAAAAGAGTCTTTGCATAAAATTTGGCAATGCCTTAGGAAGTGATATTATGCAACCATTAAAAAGTTTAATATTCTAGGGAAATAGCCACAATGTGGTAAATAGAAAATGCAGGATATTCATATGCTGCTAGAAGGAGTGTAAGTAAAACAACCACTCTGGAGAACGATTTGGTAGTATTTAGAAACATTTACAATGCTCATGCCTATGGCTCAGTTTTCCCTTTCAGGGAGTAGACAGTAGATAAACTCAGTGTTTGCAGGAGAAAATTTATATAAGCATGTGTACAGTGACATGGTAACCACAAATTAACAACCTAAATGTCCATCAGCAGGAGAATGGATAAATACATCGTGCTATATATACTATTTAGTAGTTACATTTTATTACTAGGTTCTGCTAAAGGATCTAGAGCTGCACATTTCAACCTGGATAAATCATAAAAACAAATGTACAAAAGGCAAGTTGCAAAATATTTGTACAGTATATAGAGTATGATAATATATATAAGGAACATAAGGCTGGGCACGGTGGCTCACGCCTATAATCCTAGCATTCTGGGAGGCCAAGGCGGGCGGATTGCTGGAGGTCAGGAGTTCGAAACCAGCCTGAGCAAGAGCAAGACCCCGTCTCTACTATAAATAGAAAGAAATTAATTGGCCAACTAATAATATATATAGAAAAAATTAGCCGGGCATGGTGGCGCATGTCTGTAGTCCCAGCTACTCGGCAGGCTGAGGCAGCAGGATTGCTTGAGCCCAGGAGTTTGAGGTTGCTGTGAGCTAGGCTGACGCCATGGCATTCACTCTAGCCTGGGCAACAAAGTGAGACTCTGTGTCAAAAAAAAAAAAGGAACATAGACTGTATAGCAATATGGTTTAAAAACAGAAATACTCTCAAAAATGTTAATGCCATGAAAAACCAAAGAAGGGGGAATAGCCTTCCAGAATAACAGGGACTAGAGAGATGTGTCCTGGCCTAGAAACTGGACTGAAGGAAAGGAACATTATATGGATAATATTAGGACAGTGTGTGTGTGGACTGTGGATCAGTGATAATTATATAAATTATGTGAGGCTGAGTGCTGCACTCTGGCTAAACAAGGGGATGTCCTTGTTCCTAGCAGATAGTGATGGTCCACAACTGACTCTTAAATGGTTACGGAAAAAGGTAGGAGGAAGTGCATGCGTGGGAGAGAGACACAGAGAGAGAGATAGAGAAGTGGTAAAGCGTGAATAATTAAAACAAAGGGATAAAATGTAAACAGTTGGTAAATCTAATTAAAGGCTGTATGGGAGTTCTTTGTAGTGAGTATTCTGTCAGCTTTCTCATGAGTTTGAAATTATATCAAAATTTAAGTTACCAGCAAAGGCTCAGAAGATACTATATGCTGTTTATGGACACATGGTCAGGGACACCTGCTGTTTGGGCTCTACCTGTGACAGAAATGTATTATAAGAAAGGCCCAGAGGCCGGGCGCGGTGGCTCACGCCTGTAATCCTAGCACTCTGGGAGGCCGAGGCGGGTAGATTGCTCGAGGTCAGGAGTTCGAAATCAGCCTGAGCAAGAGCGAGACCCCGTCTCCACTATAAATAGAAAGAAATTAATTGGCCAACTAATATATATAGAAAAAATTAGCCGGGCATGGTGGCGCATGCCTGTAATCCCAGCTACTCGGGAGGCTGAGGCAGTAGGATTGCTTGAGCCCAGGAGATTGAGGTTGCTGTGAGCTAGGATGATGCCACGGCACTCACTCTAGCCTGGTCAACAAAGCGAGACTGTGTCTCAAAAAAAAAAAAGAAAAAGAAAGGCCCAGAAACAAATATGGTGAAACTGTTGAGATTTGTTCATGTTGAGTGATGGGCTCATGGGTGAGCAATGTAGTATTTATCATACTTTATATTTGAAATATTTCATAAAATATAATTTTAAATGCAGATTATAAAATATGACTATATAATTAAATTTTAGTACATCTAAGTGGTGGGGAGTGTTATGAAGCCTTAAAATTTTCTTTTCAAGGAAAATGTGCTCATGGTGTTAAATGAATAAAGTGCAAATATATAGAAATAATATTAGATCCTAAATTTTGAATATACATAAATATATTTACTTATTTATTTATATACATGTGCATATAAAGAAAAATGTCTGGAGAGGAAAACATCAAAATATTTACTCAGTGGCCTATAGAATTATAGGTAACTTTAATTTTTGATACTGTCTCTTCTAAATTCTCTATGTTGAGCATATGTGAATTTTGTTTTCAGAATAGGAAAAATCAAATAAAACTTAAAGGAAAAAAATGAGTTAAATAGCTATTTGGGGCACTTACTCAGAGTAGCCAAGTGGCAAGTGCAGGCCATGCCCAGCCCTGCCTTCTGCCCTCTCGTACCTGCACTGGCTATGCCAGGTACCATCTTGCCAGGCTGCCATGTTCCTTGTAGATCGGCTTCACCACAGACCCAAGGATGGCCCGCTCTTCCCCCTACCCCACCGATGTGGCCCGAGTGGTAAACGCCCCCATCTTCCACGTGAACTCAGATGACCCTGAAGCTGTCATGTACGTGTGCAAGGTGGCAGCTGAGTGGAGAAGCACCTTCCACAAGGATGTGGTCGTCGATTTGGTGAGTGACTGTAGGGACAGCGTATCCTGTGCTGAGCGTCTGGCCCAACCCTCTTGCCCTTGGTACCCTTGTGTTCTGAGGAAAGGAGCTTGACTCCATGAGTCACCGCAGGGATCTGTAGTGCCAGGCTTCACACAGGTATTTGTTTAGCTCCAGAGTATTCAGGCCAACACACACCAACGAATACTCCCCAGCCAGGGGCTGTGGTGGTGCAGAGAGCTGTCCCTGGGCTTGTCTGGCGCTGTCATGGGGCTGCTTGTGAATAGTTTCCCATTTATCTCATTTCCCATTTATATCAAATGTTTTATCTCATTTGATAGTCAAAGCAACTCTGCTCTGTGAAGGGGAGATAGATAGAATCCTAATTCTAGTGAAGGTAAACTGAGGCAGAGCAGGCACAGGGTGTGTTGTCATCACATGGGAGAGATGAGGCGGGTCTCTGACGTCCTGTCTCGCTGTTTTGACCAGGTGTGTTACCGCCGCAACGGCCACAACGAGATGGACGAGCCCATGTTCACGCAGCCACTCATGTACAAGCAGATCCACAAGCAGAAGCCCGTGCTGCAGAAGTATGCTGAGCTGCTGGTGTCGCAGGGCGTGGTCAACCAGCCGGAGTATGAGGTACATCCCTGAGGCTCAATCCCACAGGCCTTCCTGGGGCTGGGGAGGACTAGAAAAGGCCAGCCACGGGGCTAGTTCTCACTTTTGCAGTTATGAGGATCCTAGTGAAAGCCTGTGAAATATTTACACCTACAGCATTTCAGCACTTAACTTTTTGGAGGGTCTGGGCTACCAAGATGCTTTGTAAAGGAGGTAGGCTGGAAGCAGTGTTTTGGGGAGAAGACGAGCTTGTTTTGGAGACAAGGTAGTGGCTGCCTAATAGTTTTTCTCAGTTGACACAAATTGTGCAGGGGTGAGCGGTAGGTGGAGGGGCCACCTTGGTAAAGGGCCTGGTGTAATCTGGATGGTGAGTGCTGGTTGGTTATGAGTGGGAAGGCCTGCGCAAGTGTGCCAGGGAAGGAGAGGAGATGGGGGCATGACGAGCCATGTCTGAAGCGTGGGAACAGAAGAAGGCCTAGGTCAGGACAAATGCTGGGGGTGGAGTGTGCTAGGAACCGTGAGAACTATATCAGTTCTCATTGAAAAACTATGGGGGGCGAGGGCACTCACACTCTGAGCAGGATCTTCACCCAGCACATGTGGGGAAGAAACTATTGGGAGTGAAGAGAATAATATACTTGGGCTTCTCGCCAATCTCAGAAAGGTTACACTGGGGAGGACTAGACCTGAAGGCCGGTGGCGTCTGAGACATTTTGCACTCGGGAGTGTGGGGTGTGGCGGTGTGCACAGCGATCGTGCGCGGTGCCCGTGACTGCTGTGTTGTGCCCAACCCTGCAGGAGGAAATCTCCAAGTACGATAAGATCTGTGAGGAAGCTTTTGCCAGATCCAAAGACGAGAAAATTTTGCACATCAAGCACTGGCTTGACTCTCCCTGGCCTGGTGAGTGAGGAAACGATGCCACAGATAAGCTCCTTTGTGAATCTGACGTAGCCATGACTCCTCTTCACGGAATAAAGCTCAGGCTCCCCTCTCTACCCCCATCATACACAGTTGTGTGCACCATTTCAGCAAAACCCCCTGTGGACCCTGGACTCAGACCCCTGGACTAATGCTATCTGGGGAACATGGACCAGGCTACGCTCTCACTCTGATTCTTCCCAAAATCATGTTCTGCCACAGTGTAGTCCCTGGAAAAGCAGAGCAGTTTCTCTGCAGCATCTGCTTTTCTGAAGCAGGGGCCATGCCTCAGCGGTTCTTCCTCTCCCAGGCTTCTTCACCCTGGACGGGCAGCCCAGGAGCATGTCCTGCCCCTCCACCGGCCTGGCAGAGGATATTCTGAAGCACATTGGGAAGGTGGCCAGCTCCGTGCCCGTGGAGAACTTTACCATTCATGGAGGTAACAAGCTCTGTGCTGGCCTGTGCAAATGTTGGGGTGCAGGCCAGAGGCAACAACTCTCCGGGACTGTGCTTGGCACCTGTCTCGTGTCCTGTAGAAATTCTTTCCCTGCTGGTGGGGCCGCCTCTCTCACCCGCTCCCTTCAGCATGGTCCTACCTTGCCCAGTAGTAGAGACTGAGGTCACAGCTTTTCCATCGAATTGGGAATCCGCAAGCAGTGGGTGCAGAAGGCCGCTCGCCCCAGTAGCACACTGCGAAGTGAGGCGGCCACACACAGGCCTGGGCCTGTAGCGGCTGGTGAGAGCTGTGTTTCTGCAGGGCTGAGCCGGATCTTGAAAACTCGTGGGGAGCTGGTGAAGAACCGGACCGTGGACTGGGCTCTGGCTGAGTACATGGCGTTCGGCTCACTGCTAAAGGAGGGCATCCACATCCGGCTGAGCGGCCAGGATGTGGAACGCGGCACGTTCAGGTAATGCTCTGCACAGTTTTGTTTGACCTTCAAAGAGTAGGAGATGGGAAGGGAGGGGCTCTGACAGCGACAGGTTTCATACAGTTTTTCTGTAGACTCAGGGGGCGGGAGGCAGAGCTCAGGCAGTGATGTGAGCGATGGGGAGCGGCTGTAAATACAGATGAAGCTTCGCTAGCTCGCCTGCGCTCACCTCCTGCTGTGCGGCCCGGTTCCTAACAGGCCATGGACCAGTACCGGTCTACGGCCGGGGGGTTGGGAACCGAAGTTCTAGAAGACAGTTACTAAGTCCCATTTGTCTCAGGCTAAAAGTTCCTCTCTCTGATTTGCTCATCTCTTAAGGTTGATGGGTGCTTTAAGGATTTGGGTGCTCATCTTTTAAGACCTGGGTGGTGCCGAGCTCTGCAGCTGGCTGCCAGGTGGGAAGTGCAGGTCGCAGCAAGGGAGACCTGTACTCCATGCGGGGCCCCAGCACATTTGCTTGACAGGTCAGAGCTCCTGGTTATTATCTCTGTTGTCCTGCCCCAGCCACCGCCACCACGTGCTCCATGACCAGAATGTGGACAAGAGGATTTGCATCCCCATGAACCACCTTTGGCCCCATCAGGCCCCCTACACCGTGTGCAACAGCTCACTGTCTGAGTACGGTGTGCTGGGTGAGTGCCCGGAGCCCCTGCCACCAGGCCCCCTACCACCTACCCCCCTACCACCCACTGACTGGTGTCCTGGATGTGGCTTTCTCCTTCCTTTGTACCTTGCAGGCTTTGAGCTGGGCTTCGCTATGGCCAGTCCTAATGCCCTGGTCCTCTGGGAAGCCCAGTTTGGTGATTTCCACAACACTGCCCAGTGCATCATCGACCAGTTCATCTGCCCAGGACAAGCCAAGTGGGTGCGGCAGAATGGCATCGTACTGCTGCTACCCCATGGCATGGAGGGCATGGTGAGCCCCTGGCCCTTCCCTGCCAGACCTAGGACTTGGGAACAGTCTGTTTAGGACCCTGACCATAAAGACTAGCACCAGAGCCAGTGGCTCACACCAGAATTCTGAGGGCTCTGCCAGTGCTTCTCTCTCATCTGAGACGAGAATGTCATTTTGGAAGGGCAGACTAGCCCATCTGGATGTGGCCAGCATGCCCCATCCCTCCCCCACCCTGGATGAGAAGCTGGTAGTACTAATGGAGACCACCTAGATGTGCAGGCATCCACAGGACATTCGGCACCTGCTGCCAGCAGCCCAGCCTGCTCGGCTCCCTCACAGCCCCCACACCTTGTTTGGGGCTGTGCCACTCCAGGGCCCTTAGTGTGACACAGTTTTAAAACTCTGGTATGGAATGAGGAGCCAAGCCCTTCCCTAGTGGGAAGGGGAAAGCATTGAATCCTGCTGTCAAGAAGAAAGATAACCAGAAATGAGCAAGCTAGTTGAGAGGGAGGAACAGCAAATGCAGCAAATGTCAGCATGCAGGAGCTCCCAAACTGTAACTCGTGTGTCTGGTTCCAGGGCCCAGAACATTCCTCCGCCCGCCCAGAGCGGTTCCTGCAGATGTGCAATGATGACCCAGATGTCCTACCAGTGAGTAGAACAGGCCCTGCCCACCTGGCCAGCCCGGCCGCCCTCGGGGTGTCTGGCAGGAACCCTGGAGAGGAACGTTCTATCTGGAAGTCCTGAGGTGTCACACAGACCTTGTCTCTGCCCCCTTTCTCTAGCTGGGGAGCTCAAATGGGTGGACAAGTGTGGCCTGTAACTTCTGGTTTGCCCGAGACGAGAGGCTTCCCAGAGCATAGGAGAAAGTGCGGGGCTGTCTTTATTTGCTTCCTGCTGTTGCTGAAAGTGCACAGACTCCCCGTGAGCAGCTCATGAGCTCTTGGGGTGGATGCTGTGTGACTTGCCATTCAGGCAGATGCTGGAGGAGAGAACTTTGGGGTGTTTTTAATGAAACTTTAAGAGCTCAAGAAAAACTATTGGGAGTCAGTTTCTAAAGAGGATTAGAATAGGTTTTTGGTAGAACTTGAGTCTGTTAAAATAGCATCTGCTTCATGCTAGGCAATAGCTTTCGGAGAAGTAGTAGGGATTAATGGGACTGAGACTCTCCAGGGTGTGAGGCTGGCGAGCTCATTCTTACTAGTGTCTGCTCACATCTCCCGGTGAGTCAGGCACCTCAGGGTGTCTCCTGAGGCCCCTTTGCCCTAGACCCCAGAATTTTCAGTGCTGCTACCTGGCCTCTGGCCATTTCCTTCCTTGCTGCAGGACCTTGAAGAAGCTAACTTCGACATCAATCAGCTGTATGACTGCAATTGGGTTGTTGTCAACTGCTCCACCCCTGGCAACTTCTTCCACGTGCTACGACGCCAGATCTTGCTGCCCTTCCGGAAGCCGGTCAGTGGCAGGGCCTCTCTTGGTCAAACGAGGCCTAGCCCTGCTCTGTTGGCACAGGGAAGGGCTCCTCTGAGCACCTCTTGCTTGGTGTTGGCTAGGTGGCACCCACAAGGGGAGTGTAGAGAGAACATAGCACTGGGGAGCCAGGCCTCCTCTTCCTCCTGCTGCTGCGGCCAGGGAACTGCATGTTCTCTTCCCCCAAGTTGGACCCTCGCGTGCTGCTAAGCACCACACGCAGAGTGTTCGGCTGAGCTCTAGAAGAAGGCGAACTCTGGTGGAGCCCAAGGGAGTAGAGTCCCTAGGCAGCAACTCCCTAGCTAAGTGTTGAAGGGTGAGTAGAAATTGGTTAGAGGTGTAAGTGGGAAAACTGCACAGGAAGCAGGGAGTGGGGGCAAGGGTCCAGGGAGAGTGCCCTGCTGCCCTGGGATGCTGCGGGGTGGGAGCACAGGACTCAGCTTAGCAACTCCATGTGTCCCCTGCAGCCTGAGGACCCACAGGGCAGAACAGCCCTGGTGTCACCTGGTACTGGCTTTGTCACAGCCTTGGATAGGCTGTAGGTACCTGTGCTCTGGGACTGCTAAGAAGAGACTCAGGGCTCTTTCCTGGGTATGAGAGGCAGGGGGTGGGGTGCAGGGTATTTGGAGCAGGCTGGGATGGCCCCTGGAGGGAGTGGATGCCCGGCTGAGGGGAGGGGAGCAGCAGGGAAATTGACATTCTCTCTTCCTCCTCCTGCCTCTTCTGACATAAGGCTCCTGTTGAGAGCTGGGAGGGCAGGTCTCTGTGTTCTATGTCCTGAAGATCAACGCTTGGACAGTCCCTTGCTTTTGCCCTTCTTTCTGAAATTAGAACCCCTTCTTATCATGAACCTGTTGTTCTATATTTCAGTTAATTATCTTCACCCCCAAGTCCCTGCTGCGCCACCCTGAGGCCAGAACCAGCTTTGATGAGATGCTTCCAGGTGGGTGTGGGGGAGATGGGCATTTCCTTGGGGAAATGGTGGGTTTGGGGGTTCTCTGCTGCTGCCCTGTGATGTGTGTGGGGCAGATACTTGTGAATATCACCATGGCTTTGCCACAGTTTTGGTGGTGGTGCCAAGCCCCGTGATACCAGATATGGAAGGTCACAGCTTACATGCAAGTTAATCAAATGTCATGCCTCACATCCAATCCCAGGGCTGCCGCCTCTCGCATGTGAGCGTCCCAGGACTCCGTCAGAGGCAGGGATGCGAGGCTGAGATTGAGAGTAGTGCCCTGTCTGTGGCCTCCTCCAACAGGCGAGTGGCAGCTCCCCCGTACCTCCAAGGCAGAGGAAAAGACACTGGGGGCAGGCCCTGCCTGGTAACCGGCCAGCTGTGCCTGTGCAGAGCTAGGCCTGTGGCAGTGAGATTGCCACGTGGGCAGCGGAGTGCAGGTGTCGACACAGCCTTCAGTGCCCGAGCAACATCCTGGGCTCACAGGGCCCAGGAACCTGCGTCCTCCCAGCTGCCAAGTCCCCTTTAATCTTCTGTCTAGGTAAACCCTGTTTTGTTTGGGGGTTTTTTCCTATTTTTTTTTTTTTGATTGTGGTAAAATTCAAAACATAAAATTTACTGTTTTTAACCTTTCTTTTTTTTTGAGACAGGGTCTCATTCTGTCTCCCAGGCTGGAGTGCAGTGGCAGCATCATAGCTCACAGCAACCTCAAACTCCTGGGCTCAAGCAATCCTCCTGCCTCAGCCTGCCAAGCAGCTGGGACTACAGGAGCATACTGCTGCCCTGCTAATTTTTCTGTTTTTTGTAGAGACAGAGTCTCGCCATGACTCTCAGGCTGGTCTCAAACTACTAGCCTCAAGCAGTCCTCTTGCCTCAGCCTCTCAGAATGCTAGGATTACCAGGCATGAGCCACCATGCCCAGCCTTTAGCCGTTTTTAAATGTATAGTTCAGTGACTCATGAAGTACATTCACAGTGTTATGCAACCATCACCACCATTGATCTGCAGAACTCTTTTCATCTTGAAAAACTGAAACTCTGTCCCCATTAAACACTGACTCCCTGTTCCCCTCCCCCCAACCCCTGGCAACCACCATTCTATTTTCTGTCTCTGTGAATTTGACTACTCTAGGGACCTCATATAAGTGGAATCATATAATATATATTTCTCCTTTGTGGATGGCTTATTTTACTTACCATAATGTCTACAAGGGCCATCCTTTTTGTAGTTTGTGTCAGAATTTCTTTTTAAGACTGAATAATATTCCATTATATGTATATATCACATTTTGCTTATCCATTCATCCATAGATGGGCACTTGTTTTGCTTCCACATTTTTGCTATTGTGAATTATGCTGCTGTGATCATGAGTATACAAATATCTCTTCAAGTCCCGGTTTTCAATTCTTTTGGGTATGTACCCAGAAGTGGGATTGCTGGACCATATGGTAATTCTATTTTTAATTTTTTGAGGAACTGCCCAACTTTTCCACAGTGGCTGCATCATTTTACATCCCACCTACAGTGCACAAGGGTTCCAACATCTCTGCATCCTCATCAGCACTTACTATTTTCTGAATTTTTTAATAGTGGCCATCTTAATGGCTGTCAAATGGCATTTCATTGTGATTTTGATTTACATTTAGTCATTAGCAGCATTGAGCTTCTTTTCATGTGCACGTCAGCCATTTGGAGATTATATATATATATATATATATTCTTTAGAGAACTAGTCTATTCAAATCCTTTGCTTCAGCAACCTCAAACTCCTGGGCTCAAGCGATCCTCCTGCCTCAGCCTCCTGAGTAGCTGGGACTACAGGCATGTGCCACCATGTCCGGCTAATGTTTTCTATTTTTGGTAGAGACGGAGTCTCTCTCTTGCTCAGGCTGGTCTCGAACTCCTGAGCTCAAAGGATCCACCCACCCAGAGTGCTAGGATTACAGGCCTGAGCCACCGCACCCGGCCTCCTTTGCCTATATTTTAATCTGGTTGGTTGTTTTTTTATTGTTGAGTCTTAAGATTTCTCTGCCTAATCTAGATATTAATCCCTTTCTGATTCATGATTTGCAAATATTTTCTCCCATTCTGTGGGTTTTTATTCTGTTGATAGTGTCTTTTGATGTACAAGGTTTTAATTTTCATGAAGTCTAGTTGGTCTGTTCTTTCTTTAGGTTGCCTATGCCTTTGGTGTTATATCTAAGAAATCATTGCCAAATCAAAAGAGTTTTATTGTTTTGGGTCTTACATTTAGGTCTTTGACCCATTTTGAGTTAATTTTTGCATATGTTACTAGGTAAGGGGTCTAAATTTCATTCTTTTGCGTGTGGATATCCAGTTTCCCCAGCACTGTTTGTCTGAAAGACTAACCTTTCCCCATTGAGTGGTCTTGGTAGCCCTGTCAAAAATGATTTGACCATCTATATGAGGGTTTATATCTGGGCTGTCTATTGATTTCATTGGCCTCTATGTCCCTCTTTACGCCAGTATCATACTTTTTTTTTTTTTTTAAGCCTCTAAACATTTGGCATTTATCATACTATTTTGATTACTATAACTTTGTAATAAGTTTTGAAATCAGGAAGTATGATTCCTCTAACTTTGTTTTGCTTTCTCAAAATTATTTTGGTTATTTGCAGTCCCTTGAGTTTCTATGTAAATTATTGGATAAACTATCCTATTTCTGCGAAAAACATCATTGGAATGTTCATAGAGATTACACTGAATCTGTAGATTGCTTTGGGTAGTATTGATATCTTATTAATGAGTTTTCTAATCTTTGAACACAGTATCTGCTCACATTTATTTCTGTCTTTTTCTTTCAGCAGTGTAATTTTATAGTTTTCATTGCACAAGTCTTTCACCTCCTTGGTTAAATTAAGTATTTTATGCTTTTTGATGCTATTATAAATGGAATTGTTTTTTAATTTCCTTTTCACATTGTTAGTGTATAGAAATGCGACTGATTTTTGTATGTTGAGTTTTGCACTGTGCTACTGTGCTGAATTTATTGCTTCCAACAGTTTTTTATATGATCTTTAGGGTTTTCTACATACAAGATCATATCACCTGTAAACAGATAATTTTACTTCTTCATTTTCAATTTTGGTGCCTTTTATTTCTTTTTCTTGCCTAATTGCTCTGGCTAGAACTTTCAGTACTATATTGAATAGAAGTGGCCAGAATGTGCACTTTAGCCTTGTTCCTGGTCTTAAAGGGAAACCTTTCAGTGTTTCACCACTGACCATACTGTTAGCTGTGGGTTTTCATATAAGGCCTTTATCATGTTGAGATCGTTTCCTTTTATTCCTAGTTTGTTGAGAGTTTTCATGTAGACAGTGTTCCATTGTTTTCATGAACCCCAGCCCTAGCCTTAGTTAGCTGAATATTTTCTCTGATAGTGTTGAAAGTTTTTATATCTGTAAAATCATGAGTAGTATAAATGGAGTAGAGATGGAATGTTTTAATTTACTTACTTGTCCCCAAAGTCTGAGACAAGCCATTTTGGAGAATAACCTAATGTTACTTGATATCCAATGTGGGTGTCTGCTGTGTTTATGTCATATCATGTGGTTTGCAAAGCACTCTAGGTCTGGGCAGATACATGGGCATCAGAGGCTGGGTGAGGGGGAAGCATCTCTCACCCTCAAAAACTACATGTCCTGGCAGCAGCATGTGGCATAGTCCTGTCTCTTGGGACCCACCACTCACACACAGTGGGACAGGTCCTAGATTGCTCTCAGCCATGTCCCTGAGAGAATCAGCCTGGCCATGGGAACTCTCTTGTAGGAACCCACTTCCAGCGAGTGATCTCAGAAGATGGCCCCGCAGCTCAGAACCCAGGAAATGTCAAGAGGCTTCTCTTCTGCACTGGCAAGGTGTACTACGACCTCACTCGAGAGCGCAAAGCACGGGACATGGTGGAGCAGGTGGCCATCACAAGGATTGAGCAGGTGAGGGCAGGTGGCATGGCAGCCAGGTGCTGATATTCCTCCTGCAGGGTGTTGGGGTCTGGTCTTCACAGAACCTCCAGAACATCATCGACTGAGGGGGGGTGTCCCAGGTCCCTGACCTTCCTCGCCTGGAGCAGCCACCATGAGACTGCCCTTCTGGAACACCAGCCTCCCTTTGCTTGGCCTCATCAGCCCTCTGAATGTCCCCCTCTTGACCTGACCCCTTCTGTCTCCTAGCTATCACCATTCCCCTTTGACCTCCTGCTGAAGGAAGTACAAAAGTACCCCAACGCTGAGCTAGCCTGGTGCCAGGAGGAGCACAAGAACCAAGGCTACTATGACTATGTGAAGCCAAGACTTCGGACCACCATCGGCCGTGCCAAGCCCGTCTGGTGAGGCCTTGGTCCCTGCCGGGGAGGTTGTGGGACCTCAGGCCAGTGGATCATTATTGGGACACATGCAAGAGAGAGATGAGACCAGGCCCACTCGGTGGCCATTGCCCTTACTGCTCCCTTTCTCTTCCTCCCTCCCTCTCTCTCTCTGTCTCTGTCTCTCAGGTATGCTGGCCGGGAGCCAGCGGCTGCTCCAGCCACCGGCAATAAGAAGACCCACCTGACAGAGCTGCAGCGCCTCCTGGACACAGCCTTCGACCTGGACGCCTTCAAGAACTTCTCGTAGAGCTGCTAGGGTTGTTTGGGCTGCTGCCCTCTTCACATCCATGACTGCCCCTCGCTTCTCAACTAAATAGTGCCTCAGCGCCGCCCACACCTCTGCCCTTGTTGCTGTGCCGCTCACCCTCCCCCTGCTCTTGTAGGACTTAGGCTGTTGCCCCTCGAGTGCTTGGCTGCCCACAGGCCACACGCTGCCAGGCTGTGCTGACTTCCATCAAGCTGAGCAGCTCTGTAGAGGCAGTGAGGAGCAGGAAGAGCAAAGGGAGCCCTACAGGATGTCTTTGGGGAGGGTCAGCTCTGGCCATGACCATCCCCATCTGCATCACTCCCTGGGTCGGAACTAGGCCTTGTGTGGCTTCCCAGTGTGCTGGCAACCTTGTCACCCTGCAAGGCACAGGCTCTTGTATTTGAGGCTAGGGTAGTTTCATCGTGGGGCCAAGCCTTAGAATCCACGGAGGAGTCTGGAGTGAGATCTAGCCATATGTAGAGAGGTTTATAGAACGGGCCTCAGCTATGGAGTGAACTGAAGACAACATGAGGCAGCTGGCAGGAGAGAGCCTTGGCCTGACTTGGCACAGAGAGGGCGGGTTTGGTCTCTGCAGCATCCATTTTTTTGTTGCCCCTTCAAAGATCCCCGGCTCTGTGTGGGGGCCAGGCATGCCCCGTAGCCCCACCTGGGGCTGGGCAGCACCTGGAGCCCACAAGGTCTGTGTGGCCAGGAAGCCTTGCTGGGGTCCCCACAGCCAGGGCACTCGCTGCTCTGTCTTGGTCCTGCTGACCTTCCACCTCCACCCACCTCCTTCTGTGGCCTCCCCCTCCTCCCACACCACCAACACTCTTCTTCCCCTCTGCTGTTTCCCTTTAACCCAATGGAGACTTTCTCATGCATCATTTTCTTTGCTGTGCCAAAGCAGGTCAGAAGAGGGACAGGAGGGGCAGGGGTGAGGGACAGGCTGTGGCCAAGGGGCCAGCTGCACTTCATCCGTCACTTTGACCTTCACAGGGACAGATCTGATTTATTTATTTTGGTTAAAAAAAAAAGGACAAAAACAACATTACATTGCATTGGCTTGACCCATAAACTAAGTTATCCATGGGCCTGTCTGCAGCGTCTTTCTGTCTGTTCCGCCTTCTCCCTTCCTAACCTGCCTGGGCAGCCAGACCGTCCTCATTGGACGGGGGAGCGATGATCACCACCTTCCTGCTGTGCAACGTGCCCCAGCCCAGCGCCGCCCCCACGCCACAGCCCTCTGCTCTCTGTCACGGGGAGCAGCCATTGTCATAAACATGGCAGCGGCTGCCTGGGCCACCAGGGTGCATTCGGGTGCAGCCTTGTTTCTGAGCTCTCCCTGCTCTTGGGTCCTCTTCCCCACTCCACCTTGAAAAAACAGTACGGTGCACTCTGCCTCCATGTTTGAGGTTTGAGCCAACATGCCTGTGGGCTCACCCTAATGACACACTTGTTAGTTGGTATCCCCCAAAGCCTAAGCAACTCTCCCAACCTGGAGATGAGACCTCCATGCCAACATGTGCCCTCGGTGCTCTCTGGCCAAGAGCCATTGTCTTCATCCCTCAAGCCAGGCACTGACCTCTTGGGGAGTTGGCCAGTCCCACCCCAGAGAAAGAGCTCAGGGCCCCCTGAGCCCCCACCCGGCTCTCTAGGCAGCACCTGCCTGGGTTTTATTCCTAGTTTGCCAGCCAGTGCCAGACAGAGCAGGTCCTGGGCTCAGACACTCCTGTATGTGTCTGCCCGTGACCAGCGCACACCTCCCTGCACCTGACACAGTCTGCCCGGGTAGGTGGCTTAGAGCTTCTTGGAAACTGCCATTTGCCTGGAGAGGCTTTTGGCCGAGTCCTGCTCAGAGAAGGGAGCTTGCCATCAGCTTCTTCCACTGTCCAGCTCGCCTGGCATCCAGGTGGTGAGCCAGGGCTTTATTGTTTCACCACAGTCCAGAGGCCTTTTAGAAAGGTGGCCTCTGGGTGCGCTGCTTTGCTGGAAGCTGGGACTTGCCTCTAATGCTTCTGGGCTGGCCAGAGGCAGAACATCCGGTGAGCAGAGCCCAGACAGGTCCTGAGGGCGGGGAACACTTCCCAGAGAGTGGATGAGTTAGTTCCTGAAGCAGCTCAGCAAGGTGACCCTTATGTCACCACCCACAGGCCCTTCTGGTGACAATTGTGACTACAGGGACAGGCATGGCTCATCTGGAAGCTGTTGAAGTAGGTGGGGGTCTCAGTAAGTCTGCATGCAAGTCTGCAGCCCTGAGCACCTGTGAGGAGAACGGGGCCTTGTAAAGGCTCTGGAAAGATGGGGACAAAGACCACACTGGACCAGATGCCACTGCCAGCTGGGATTTTAGTGCTAAGTGGCTCACACATTATCATACAAGTGCTTCCCTGGTTGGTTTTGTTCAGCTTCAGTTTATTTTCCTAGAATTGGAGAAGAACAGTTGTTAGAAGGAAGCTCTGCGCTGTCTAGGGAGCATCCTGTGTGTTTAGACGAGACTCCAGTGGGTCCGGAGCAGTGTGAGCGAGTGTGTGAACAGAACAGCAGCGTGGTGTCAGCTGATGGCCCAGGGTAGCGTCACGGATTTAGTGTGTGTGGCGTGAGATGTGGCACCAACCCCCCTCCACACCCGTCTCCCTGCGCCCACTGGGCTCTTTGGGTGAGCTGAAGGGAAATGCAAACTTGTTTTTAGGATGAGGAGACCTGGTCCCACTGGTTGGTGATTGGGAGCAGAGCGGCTCAGTCCCTTGTGACTCCCCCAAGGCTCTTGAGTTGTTCAGAGTGGGACAGGGTAGACAGGGGCATCAAGAACCTGCCCAAGCCATGTTACTGTCGGGCGAGACTAGAGTCCAGGCTTGACGTGGCTTCCTTTGCTTTTCTGGATATAAAGGACCCGAAATACCTGAGTGAGATAAGTCAGCGATTGTCAGCGTGCTCTGCCCGGGAGGGAGCTTCGTGTGGTCTGAGCCATCACTCCGTCGCTGTGTTTGTGCAAAGGCACCCACACCTGAGGAAGAGGCTGCCGGGCCCCCTGGGGTGATGAGGGGCCTCCGCCTGGATTTCCTTCCCCCCCCCCCCGCAGGAACAGGGACTTGAGTAACCCCCTGTGCTCCTTCCGTCCTCCCTGCGCTGGGGCAGTGAACTCCCCCTTGGGCAGCATTCAGCTGGGATTGGACTGAACACAGGAGAAAATTTCTCTGTTTAGGATTCCATGGTCCTCCAACTAGTGAGTCTCCATGCAGGGACCCCACTCAGGGTCCCCCACTCTGCTGGCTCCAGTGTCCACTCTCACACCTGGCTTGCTCAGTCCCTGAAATAAATCATCAAAGACTTTAGTGAATCAGAGCCCGAGCCACAGGTCTCCTCCAGGGCCCCTTCAGGGGCTGCCCTGCTCACCACCCCCCATGGCCTGTTCCAGGTCCCCCACAGCCTCAGGCTTCTTCACAGACCCCTCCTCCCTATGTCCTCACCCCTCCCACCCCAGCCCATGGTTGGGGGGCCTACAAGGCCCCAGGATGCCATGGGAACTTCTGTTAACCCCCAGGTACCCGGGTCTACCCAGGCCCTGATCAGAGGTTTTCTCCTGTGCCCAGGGCTCTGTCCATTGGCATGAGGGAGAGCTTGTCAGCCGTGGGAACTCAGACCCTGTCTCCTCTCCAGCCTTCCCCAGCACATAGCTGGAATCCTGGCCTGCCCTTGGGGACCCTTGGCCTGCACAGGCTGGTCTGAGTCCCTGCCCAGCCCCAGGGGTGGGGCCCAGTTCCTCTGTGCAGAGACTTCTGTCTCACTTCCCAGGTGCTTCCTGTACCACCCCCACCCCAACCCCAGTCCTGAAGTTTCACCTTAACAGTTCAGCACCTAACATCAATGGAGGGTCTGGGCTGTGGATCAAGGTACAGTTTTGCATAGTTTCGGAGTCAGCAAGGCCACAGCGCCCCCCATCTGTCACCGCCAGAGGCCAGGGACGAAGTGCAAACAACTTCATGACCAGGTTGGCATGTTCAAAGGCCCTGGTGGTCCGTGGAAGCAGATGATACCTGCACCCAGAGGTGTTGGGGGGAAGTGGGTGAAGCTCAGAAATCCAAGCAAGATAGAATGGGGGTGTCAGGGGCAGAGGGGAGACGTCAGGAAGGTGCGCTCCCTGCCTGCCCTACCACAACAGAACTGGGAGAGAGCCCATCAGAGGGGCAGGTGGGGGAAGGCTGAATTTGAAGGCTTTGTGACACTCAGGTGGAAATGTCAGGGAGACTGTTGGATACACAGAGCAGACCAGGGAGGTGCACTCTGGCTCCTGTGAGTCATCTGTGGTGGGGGTCCTGGTTCAGGGGGACTGGATGAGACAGTAGGAGAAAAAGGGGGAGAGGCAGGGCAGCCAACCATGAGCCTCTGCAGAGCAGGGGCTGAGTCTAGATTTCCAAGGGCACTCCTTTTTCTGCCCTATCCACCTCCAGATCTTGTCCCTTCCCTAGATTTTCCCTATCAGCCAGACCAGGAACCTGGCAATACCACTTGGCATCCTGTATCCTTCATCCTTTCCCTCCTGCCAGGGCTGTTCCAAGAGCCACCTGCTGGTCTCTCTCTAGAGCCGTATGGACTGTTGTTACTGCAAAACGATCTCCTTCAAACTCAGATTGGATCCTGTCTGTCCCCTGTAGAAAGCCAACAGCTTGCCTTTCCCAGTGGTCCGGTTGCTTAGGAGGCCCTCCTTCCTGTAGGCCTGGACAGGAACTGGGCGCCCCTTCCAGTTCTCTTCATTCCCTCTGCCGTGTTCCCTGCCTTGTCTGCAGAGCCCACTCCCTCCCAGCCAGACCCATCACTCAGAGCTGCACATGTCACCATCCTGACGCTGGTGAAGGTTGTCCCCTGCATTAGCCGCAGTGCGTAGCACGTGGCAGGGATTCCTTTAGACTTCCAGGATGAAGGGATACATGTTTGTTGAATTTTCCCTTTCTCAGAGGGATGGTAACTAGAGACTGGGCAGAAAGGCCAGCAAGAGGGAAATGGAAGAGGACTTTGGCCACCAGGTCAGGAAGTCACCATGGCTCCTGCCTTCCAAGACTCAATGCCACAGCCTCTCAACCACAGTGAGCCAGGTGCTGCCCAGGTTTTCCAAAGCCCAGATGGCGCTCGCTCGGCACCCCTCCCAGTGCTCTATCCAGGACATGTTTACTGAGCCCCAGCTCCTCGCCAGGCACTGGGGCACAGAGAGGGGATGGGAGAAATGCACACATGGAGCTACGGTGTGCTGTGAGGCCGAGCAGCCACACTCGCTCTTGGGGCTTGAGGCTCCCCAAATGTAGTGATCATTTTGTAAGTTGTAAGAGACTTCTCCTCTTAGCCCCCTCACCCAGTGCTGGTCACTTTTGCTTCCCCGCAGGGACCTCACAGAGTCTAAACACTGCACTTGCTCTTCTGGAGCCTGACCCCTTAAATACTACCGATGGTTTTCTGTTCTCTAAAACCAGCTTCGCCTCTGTCACCTCGTGTTCGCCTCTCTGCACCCAGACCCCACGCCCAGCACATTTTTCACTCTGCCAGCAGAAAGACGCATGGCATTGCTCATTGCTTTGTTTGTATTAGTAGATACCCTAATGATCACCCACGTAGGATTTAGGATTGGGATGTCACATTTCAGCTACTGAACAGGCAATAGTTACTCACTGATGAGCAGAGTTAACTAGTCATTAACTTTTTGAGGGTTCTGGCAGATGTTAGACAGTGAAGGAATGGTACTAAGTAGGGAGAAGGTAATGTCCTTGCTTTTGGAACCCTCACAGTGAGGTCGGACAAGGCTCTACTCACAGACACACACACACACACACACACACACATACACACTGCAGATTGCACATGCTGGACCAGTAGGGAGGATGGTTCACCAGTAAAGCCCCACGTGGTTCCAGCGCACGCAGGTTGGTTAGGGATTTTCACAGAGCAAGTTTTTAATTTTGATAATGTCTTGGTTCATTATGTGCTGCTGTAACAGAATACCACAGACTGGGTAATTTAGAAACAATAGATGTTTATTTGGCTCGTGGTTCTGGAGGCTGAGAAGTCCAAGGTAAAGGAGCTGCATCTGGAAAGGGTCTCCGT